ACAGTGATTGTCCATACTTTTTTTTTTAACATCCCAATTAGCCAAACACTTTTGCAATGCATCAACTATAGCAACTCCACTGTGAGGTGGCGAAACATCACAAAAATCAAGAATGCGCTTCTGAAACTTGAAATCTTTATCAACAAAGTGACATGTAACAACCATATAGCTCACCATTTGAACAGATTGTCACAAATCAGTAGTCAAACTCATTCTAGTGACACCTTGAAGAAGTGTTTTTAACTTTCCTTTATGGATTTCAAATGCTTTAAAAATATCAGTCTGAATAGTTGTCAGACTAATTTTTTGGATAATTTGGACTGATGGTTCTCAGCAAAAAGTTAAACAACTCGTATTCAGCAGTGATGAAAAGGCATGTCATGCACAATGAAGCAATGTGTCATTATGAATTTGGTACATCTAAGATCATAGCTTGCCCGTTGACTGATAGTCCTATAAGAATTGCAACATCCTCCAAAGTAATAGTACACTCGCCACAAAGAAGATGAAAAGTCGAGGTCTCTGACTGGCGATGCTCCACAACTATCATGATCAAGTCAGAATCATCATGTAGTGGGGCAAGCTCATTAACAGTATACAAAACCAGCACCCCAGAGGTATGGTGTATACACCTCATAATACTTGCTCAAAATAGACGTACCTCTAATCTTATATGAGCGAACCAAAGCCTAAACTAAATAATAAATTTATATAATTAAATTAAAGTATTAACTTATAAACTTAACGGTAAACAATAACTTATTAGCCAGAGACGTGACGAGAAATTTTAGTATAGTGGGAATGAAATTCTTTAAAAAGTGTTTGATAAGATAATTTATATAATCAAATTTTGTCACCCACCTATGAGATGTGATCTCGTATTGGAAAAAATATTGTAAAATACAATTATTATTCAAGGTATTCAGTATATCACTCTCTCCATATCCTACAATATGATCAATATTTATGATTCAAATATTCATTCAACTTTAAAACGTATTCTTTGCATAATTTATTTCAAAAGAATATCATTAGTAGACAACTTATTAAGATAAAAGTTAGATAGCAAGTTTCAAGGAGAATAATTTATGAAAAGACGAAAATTATTTGGAAATTATAATGTATTATGTACAACTCAATGTAATTTGATCTCACAAAAAATATCAGTTGCTTAGTGGAGAAAAAACTAAAACATTGGTTATGTAAAAGTTACTATGTATTATAGTTGAGTATAATTTCATTTCACAAATTAACTTTATTCATTAAAAAATATGATAGCATCCCTTTTCTCCCCGAAAAGATAGCTTGTATTAAATAAGAACACAAAGTTACAAGGACTGTGACCTAAGCCACCCACAAAAATCAAACCCAATACAACCCGTAGGAAACAAAGACAGGGCCTTCTTAGCCACCATATGGGCTACCCTATTGTTCTGTCTATCCACAAATTGCACCCTAAATTCTGGGGACATCAAAAGAGGATGACGAATTTCCTCAAACAGATCACCACCAGCAATAGCACGAACATCCCTAGCGTTAACCTTGTCGATCACAATCTTGGCATCCCCTCAATCGTAACAACCTCCATGCCACGATGTTGACACCACCTAATCGCATCTCGCAACGTTGATATATATATTTTTACAACCCCGGCCTCCCATTAGAATTTAGAAGCATACAATCCAAAGGCTAAGTTTATATGGAAAACATAGCATATCTCAATTTAGGGCTGTCAGTCGGTCGGTTTCGGTTTAACCGAAAACCGATTTCTCGGTTATCGGTTAAACCGAGACCACACTGACAGTCACCGACCACCGACCGCCTAGCATACTTCGGTTTGCCGCAAACCGACCGACCGGTTAACGGTTAAACCGCGGTTAATTGACTATCCGAAAAAAATATTATTTATAATCATTAATTTATTATTTAATTATATGAAAACCTAAAAAAAACTAAAAAGAAAATGGAGATAGAATGATAGATGGAGACAGACAGTGACTCTTCATCTCTCCTCATCTTTCCCTTCTCCTCCCGTCATCTCTCCTCTCCTCATCTCTCCTCTCCTCTCCTCATCTCCTCATCTCTTCACTCTCCTCCCGTCGCAATATCACACCCAGCCACCCACCAATCCCGCCGCCGCAAACAAAAGTCGGAGAAGGAGGAAGGACGACGACGGCGACTCGCGGAGAGGAAGGACGGCGACCGCGACTCGCGGAGAGGAAGGACGGCGACGGCGACTCGCGGAGAGGAAGGACGGCGGCGACTCTTCATCTCCTCCGACCTATCTTCCCTCCACGGCTCCACTGGTCACTAATCCTCCAGTCGCACCCACCAATCCGTAGATCCAGAATCCAGATCCCCAACTTCGGTCCCTGCATGGCTGCATCTCCAACCAGATCGAAGAGATCTAAGTTTATTGGTTTCTGGGTTTTTGTTCTTGGGCTTGGGGGTGCGACAAGGAAAGGAAGAGGAACGGTAGAGCTGAGGATCGGCGGACTGGAGAGGAAGGGCGGAGTGGCCGGGTCGGGGGACGGGAGACGGCAGCGGAAGGAATGATTTTGGAGGGTGGAGGAGAAGCAGAGTCGAAGGGAAGCGACGGTTTTGGGAGGGTGGAGGAGAGGCAGAGTCGAAGGGAAGTGATGGTTTTGGAGGGTGGAGAGGCAGAGAGGTGATATTAGGTTTCGATTTTTGTGGGGGATTGGGCTAGAACGATGTCGTTTGGCATTGATTGGGTTTAGCTCGGTTAGCTCGGTTAGCCGCGGTTAACTGCACCGGTTACTCGGCTAGCCGAATAGGCACCCTTCCTTGCCGACCACCGACCGAGGTTACATTTCGTCGGTTTTCGGTTAGCCGCTAACCGGCGGTTATCGGTTGAACCGACCGGTTAGCCGCTAACCGACAACCGAATTGCCACCCCTCTCATAGAGCGTTGTAAATCAATGTATTCCTAGTAACTAATCAAATTTTATACTAATGCATAGGGATGGCAATGGGTCGGGTCGGGGACGGATAGTGCATATCCGTTACCCTACCCAAAGTAGTTCGGGTTTTACCCATGCCCATACCCACATAAGAAACGGGTAGGAAATCCAAACCATGCCCATACCCGTTCGGGTTTTGGGTATCCACGGTTATCCATGGATAATATTTTTTCTTTATAACTCCAACCAATACGTTAATATTTACACGTATTCTTACGTTACGTAAGACGAAAAGTACGACAATAATTCACTAAAATGAAGAAAATTAATTAATACAACACAATTTCATAAAAACATGATATTTATATGCTAAATATAAAATATGTTAGAGAAAAATATTGATTATTTCTAGACAAAATACATATGCATGTGTATAATCGGGCGGGTTCGGGTTGGATAGTGAGAAAACCATGCCCACCCATTACCCGAAATATTCGGGTTCGGGTTTTACCCCGTACCCACTAAAAGTCCTTCGGGTTCGGGTTTTACCCTACCCGATTAGGTCGGATTCGGGTGGATATCCACGGTTACGGATATTTTTGTCATCCCTACTAATGCATACTAAGTCAAATTAAATTAATAACTCATTTGTAATTCATAAATTAGAATAAATACCTCATTCGATCAAACTAAATAGGCTCATGTTCAGTTCGTCCATAATAATTTGTTGCCTATTAGAACCGAATTTAATGTTCTCAGTGGCAGTAATAATGCATATTAATTATACCGTAGGAGCTGGAAAAATAAATATACAAAAAATTATTTAAAGTGGAGAAAATAGTCGTCGGAGAAAAATAAGTTGGGAGAAACTCACGGCGAGCTATATTCCGTCTACCACCACCTCTTCCTTTATCCCTCCTTCGGTGGCCACGACCGTGATTCTCGTCGTTGTGGCCTCTAGAGTCAAACTATCCGTCTTCCAATACCGACGGAAACGGAGAAGATGAAGGGTTGGAAAAGGCGAAATCGGTGGGGGAGGAAGTGCAGAGGAAGAGAGTGGGTGGTTTTCCGGTGGTTTTCTTTTGCTATGCAGAGGAAGAGGATTTTTCGGTGGTTGGTGGAAGGAGGTTTTTTTCTGTGGTTTTCGCCAAAACTTGAAAGAAGAAGACGAAAAAAACTAGTTATCATGTGTGAGGTCAAATTTTAAACATCTGGGAGACATAAAAATTAATTGGGCGAGATAAAGACCAATTGGGGTGCAAACGACCCAATTAGTCTTTCTGTCGTCCCAATTATTTTAGTAGATTTCATTGACATGCCTCTCAAATCATCGTTTTGTCTTCCCAAAAATTCAATTGGGGTGCTCATGCCTGAAGTTTTCTAATTATGAGCACTGCTACTATGCTTTAAAGTACTAGTACTATAAAATACAACTTGAAGTTGTACCATAACGTTAAAGGTACAAATTAAAGTTGTACCATAAGAGAATTTAACCTTTATGTTGTACCAAAACATAAAGGGTAATGTCTATTTTTATCCAAACCTTTTTCAAATTCTTTTATATTACCTAAACCTATCGAAATACTAAGAGTTAGCCAAATGTTAACTTACAGTTAACAATTTTGTTAGTAATATTCACTTGCCAATATGATACTGACTTGGAAGAGACACATGAAGTCAAGATTGTAAAAATTTATTATTTTAACTAAGAAAATAGTTAAAAATTATTAACGATAACATAAAAATTGTTAATATTTTGATGAATTATGAAAGATTTGGCTAATTAATAGAATTTTAATAGGTTTGAATAATATAAAAGAATATGAAAAAGGTTTGGATAAAAAATAGACATTACCCAAACATAAAAGTACAATTTTAGTTTGTACCATAATTTTTTTTTACAAAAATAGTATATGTACACCGTAAAGATAAAAACTAAAACACTCATGCTTTAAAGCATTATAAAATTTTTCTATAATTTTTAAATATCATAATATTTATGAAAAACGTCGGACGAATATGAATTAAGAAAAATAAATGTTGCAGAAGTAGCCGTTATTATTTCCTCCTCTTTGCTCTCCACAAATTTCCTACACAGGCTCCTCTTCTCTTGTCGCATCACTTTTCGTACTTCTTTCTTGAAATTCTTCGCAAAAACAACTCAGGAGGCTTGTGCTCTCGCTTCATAGCCCTTCTTCTCAATTCCCGGCGACCGCCGGGACTTACTTCAGTTCCCGTCTGTAGCAACCAAGTTCAGCCTCACAAGTCACAACTCGACTTCTTCACCGACTTCTCTGGTAAGTTGTTAACTTGCTCCGTGATTCTCTAGTGTTTCCGCTTCAGGCTCGTCCCGTTTTCAGGTGATTTTCTTGTTGGAGTATTTTTTGAATAAATCTCCAGAAAAGGAAAGAATTGAGTTCGTGCCAATCTCAGGGTTTCTTACCCTTTTGAGCTTGGGCTGCGGCGCCGCGTTCTTTCCTTCTTTTGCTTTCATGGAAAGAACTTGAATTCTAGGTCAAATTGCGGCTTCCAATTTGTTATTGGAAGGGCTGTTGTGTGAATTGAATTCTCCGAATTAGGAAGCCGATTAGTTTAGGTTTTAGTTCTCTGGATTCGAGCTGAGTATATCACATGCTGAATATTGCTCAATTTTGAGATCAAGAAAATGAAGATCGATGGTTTCTCTGACTGCGAAACCGTTTTCAATGCTAGTGAGAAAGAAGTAGGCGATCGTAGTGAAAACGTGAAAGAGAAATGGTCGGAACCCCGGCGACGCCGGCGTCCAAGACCCGGAGAATTGTGCCGTCAACTAGTGGTGGCACGAGGGTTCAGGAGGAGAAAATTTTGGTCACTGTGAGGATGCGGCCGCTGAGCGGGAGAGAACAATCGTTGTACGATCTTATAGCGTGGGATTGTCCCGATCAACAGACAATCATCCACAAAAGTGCAAATCCAGAGCGTCCTACCACAGCCTACATGTTTGGTACTTAGTGTGTGGTGTAGTTTTCTGTGTCTTAACTGCTTCAGCGGAGCAATTCGGCTTCTAACTTTGTGTTCCTTTCTTCTTATTTCTGTTTCTTCGTCTGCAGATAAGGTATTTGATCCTTATTCAACAACTCAGAAGGTGTATGAACAAGGAGCTAAAAGTGTTGCTTTGTCAGTCCTTACTGGAATTAATGGTGAATACTTTTTTTTTACTCCAGCAGACGGAGGCGTAAAGTTATTGCCTAGATAAGAGTGTTCTGTTTATCTTTGCAATGGGTTAGTTCTTACTAGAATGTTAATGCTTCTGATGTCTCTAACTTGTTTCCAGCTACCATCTTTGCTTATGGCCAAACCAGTAGTGGAAAGACGTTCACCATGAGAGGGATCACAGACCATGCAATCCATGATATCTTTCAGCACATTGCGCAGGTACGTAGATGTTAACCAAATTCAATATCTACTGTCCTGTTCTGGGTTTTTGTCCTCTTCAATGATACCATAGAAAAGTTAGCAGCTATGATCAGTGATGTACAACTGTGATACCCTTATGGGGATGTATACCAAAATAGTGATGCATGCTTGTCAGTCTGTCCGTCAAACTAATGTCGATCTAATTAGGCCAATAACAGTATGATCAGTGATCTTCCTCCTTGTGTTATTATAAATTTTCAGGTTCAGGAGAGGGAGTTCTCCTTAAAAATATCAGCCTTGGAGATTTATAATGAGACTGTTGTAGACCTCCTGAACCGTGAATCAGGTCCCCTTAGGCTTCTGGACGATCCTGAGGTATGCACGCTGTGATACTGGTTGAAACAATAGAACAATTTTAGTCTTTTTGAATCAAATGCTCAAGTATTTTCTGTTGTTTATGGTTTCGATGGAGAACAGAAAGGAATCATCGTTGAAAAACTAGTTGAAGAAGTGGTCAATGATGGTCAACACTTGAGACACTTGATTGGAGTTTGTGAAGGTAATTACATGGCTAGGATTCTCTTTAGAATAGGCGACAAAAGTGAAGCCATGAATTTCACAATATCTACATTCATCACATAGCTTTGGGAAGATTTATCTTTTGGCAGAGAACGATCCAGCTTGCATACTGGTATTTAGTATTTAACTATGTAAATAAGAATCATAATCATGAATGCAAATGTGCAACTCATCATACACTTATTTCTATTGGCATATGAATCTGCTACTTCTACTCTCTATTAAAAATTCTGGTTCTACAGCTCAAAGGCAAGTTGGAGAAACAGCCCTCAATGACAATAGCTCGAGATCACATCAAATAATACGACTGGTGAGCAAAATTCATGAGCTTTATTAGGGTTTGAAGATCCGGCTTTTAATTCTGCATGTGATCACATTGATCAAATACTTCCTCCAGTGCTCCATGTGATCTAATTGCTAATTCTCCATATGTGATAAAATAATACTTCCTCTAGTTTTCTGTTTGTCTGCCAGTCAAATGATGACATCAGTACGCTTTTAAATCTTGCAATATTGAGAAATTTTGCTCCATTAGCCCATTGCATTTCTATATATTAACTGACTGTTCTTTATGATAGACCATTGAGAGCACTTTAAGGGACAAGTCGGGCCATGTTGAATCGTTCTTAGCAAGTTTGGTATGCTATTATAGCATTTTGTGATTGACCATAAGCTTTTAGATATCAAAATTTTCACTGTGGTGCATTGCAACATTTTAGAATCTCGTGGACCTTGCTGGAAGTGAACGTGCATCTCAAACAGCTGCAGATGGCACAAGACTTAAAGAAGGTAGTCATATAAATCGCAGCTTGTTGACCCTCACTACAGTGATCAGAAAGTTAAGGTAAGCTAAAGCCAGAATGGAATTATATTACTTTTGGTATTATTTACTAGAATCTTCACTCATCTCGATCAGTTACTAATCATACAACATTTCTTTTTGAGAAAGTAGAGATGATACACCAGTTTATGTTCTTGGTTCTCCCCCATTACCCCTCTCTGTGTTTAATGTTACTTCTTTCAACTTTCTGATCCTTAATATGTTTGCAGTGGAGGAAAGAAAAGTGGTCATGTCCCATACAGGGATTCAAAGCTCACTCGAATATTGCAGCATTCACTGGGAGGTAATGCACGCACAGCAATAATCTGTACAATCAGTCCTGCCTTGAGTCATGTGGAGCAAACAAGAAATACTCTGTTGTTTGCAACAAGTGCCAAGGAAGTAACCAACAATGCTCAAGTGAACATGGTTGGTTCTCTAATCTATTCTAGTTTTCCTGCTCAAGCTTCCCGAACCTTGATCCATGTTAACATCGATGGTGTCTGAAAGTCGAGTTTAGGTCGTGCTTAGCGTTTTTCTATCTATTGCATAATCGTGTCATATTTTGCCTTAGAAACTGTAAAGTCTGCAGAGAGGAACATTAATGAAGTCTTAGGACTCCAAACTGATGATTCATCTTCATTTCCTTCCCAGATCATTTCAGACAAAAAATTAGTTAAACATTTGCAGCAGGAAGTAGCCAGACTTGCGGCAGAGCTTCAAACACCAGAAACATCTTCTGTCGCTCAATTGAAAAATAGTCTTGTGCAGAAGAACCTGAAAATCGAGAAGGTATTTGAGAAAGCTAAACTTTATTTTTCCATTATTGGTGGCCTGTTATCATTCTACTGACAGAACTTTTTCTACAAAGAGAAATCTTACTGCATACAAACAGCAACTCTGAAAATAACTTATGTTTTCTCGATAAAATTGTAGTCTTTTCCATGAATTTAGTGCTGATTCTTTACCAGTCTAATGACTCATTCCCAATTCTATATCAAATATCCAAAACTAACATGACATTAAGTCCATTTTATCTTCATGTTTGACTCATCTAGGTTCTGATTTTTCAGCTGGAGAATGAATTAAGAGAGGTCAAGCGTCAGAGGGATCTTGCAGAATCTCAACTCGAACTAGAAAAAAAACCGCATAAGGAGCCAAAGGTAAGCTTCTTGAGTCTTGTATTAATTATATATAGTTACAAGTTCCATTGTGGTCACGACATTGTTCCACTGCAGGGTCTAAAACAAAGTGGGCCATCTTCACAAGTAGCCAGAAAGCTTCCGTTCTCTGTAGAGGGGCAAAAAAGAAATGCCGTTGGCAGGCAGGGTACTTCTGTAAGGAAGTCTGCCACTTCCAGTGATCCATCCATTCTTGTTCAGGAAATACGGAAACTTGAGCAGCAGCAGAGACAGCTTGGGGAAGAAGCGAATCGAGCATTGGAAGTGCTTCACAAGGAGGTTGCCTCCCAAAGAATGGGGAGCCAAGAGACTGCTGAAACCATAGCAAAGATGCTATCCGAGATTAAGGATATGCAAGTTGAAAGCTTTGTCCCTGAGGAATCTATATTTGGAACAAAGGCCAGCAGTCTGAAAGAAGAGCTCACCCGATTGGACTCGCAAGAAAGCACCATCACCTCTTTAGAAAAGAAGCTTGATAATGTTCAGAAGTCCATAGACATGTTGGTCTGCTCATTCTCTGGCCGTGAGGAGACTCCAAAAGTGAAGGCACAATTAACCAAGAAAAAGACAATACCTTTCACGTCAAGGAACAGCTCTAATGTACATCTAATACGTTCTCCTTGTTCACCTTTGTCATCCTCTTCCCATGGTGGCGCAGTGGATAATGAGGTCGAGAACAGAGACCCCAAGAGAAGTAACCTGTTGTTTAGTGGCAATACTTCACAGGAATGTACTCCGGTGAAGGCTGTTGGACATACTGGCAAGGCATCATATAAGGAAGGAACACCACCCTCAAGGTCTTCGAAGTCGGTTAGTGTGAAGAAAATGCAGAAAATGTTCAAGAATGCAGCTGAAGAAAATATAAGGAGCATTCGAGCTTATGTCACCGAGTTGAAAGAAAGGGTGGCGAAGCTTCAATATCAGAAACAGCTTCTAGTTTGTCAGGTGAGCTTGCAACGGATTCCTCCCTGTATTGGAATAACCCACCTCTCGTTGTCTGTGTCCAATAATATTCTGGCCTTCTCATGTCATCATAGTCATCTTTTTTACTTATCAAATTCTGAATAATGTTGCGTGGGATTCCATCAGGTTCTAGAGCTAGAGGCAAATGAGGGTATATCAATGGAAACTGATTATCTGGATGAATCTCCGGTGGCATGGCGCTTGGTGTTTGAGGAACAAAGGAAGCAGATTATAATGTTGTGGCATCTGTGCCATGTTTCCATCATACACCGGACTCAGTTCTACTTGTTGTTCACTGGAGAGCCGAGTGACGAGATATATGTGGAAGTTGAGCTCAACAGGCTGACGTGGCTGGAGCAGCATTTTGCGGAGCTCGGGAATGCAAGCCCAGCACTGTTGGGGGATGAGCCTGCTGGCTCGGTGTCTCAAAGGTAAATGTGTATATATAGCAGGTTCTTTGAATCCTGAATTAGTGGTTTTTTTGAATCCTGAACTAGTTGCTGTTGTTTGTTTTGTTTTGGGTTTGATGGGGGCACAGTATCAAGGCTCTGAGACAAGAACGGGAGGAACTAGCGAAGAGGGTAAGCTCGAAGCTGGGAGCCGACGAGAGGGAATCGCTGTATGAGAAATGGGACATCCCACCAGGAGGGAAGCAGAGGCGGCTGCAGCTGGTAAATAAACTGTGGACGGACCCGCTCAACATGGAACACGTCCAAGAGAGTGCAGAGATTGTGGCTAAGCTCGTTGGTTTCTGCGAATCCGCCGGAGGTGCAGGAGGGTATGTGAGGAAGGAAATGTTTGCTCTCAATCTTGTTCACCCTGCTGACAAGAAGTCATGGATGGGGTGGAACTTTATATCCAACCTTCTCAACTTGTAATTCAAGTCGGCAAGGGGAATAGGCAACCAGCTGGTGTGGTGGCTAGAGAGGAGCTGAGTAAAGTGATGGCTAGCTTGTAGGTTTTGTTTATGAAGTTTGTATAGAGATAGAGATTGACTGAGACTCAGGGCCAGGGGATTGTTAAGAGATCCTATTCCCATCACCTAATGGTTGGAGTCGTTTCAAATTCCAGATTGTTTCACTGATCTTCTGGAAGGTAAGAAGAGAGGTGCCATCCATCTCCTTTCTGGCTTCATTTTTGGTTCAACGTTCCTTCGAAATTGAAGGACAAGAAAAGAAACAATGGGAATTCAAGTGGGCTGAACTAAGGTTGGGAGGAGTTACGGTACTAATTGTACAAGAGTTAGCACCGTCCTAACCAAGAGTTAGTAGTGATTTAGCTTAGATGTTGTATTGATTTTATAATAATCCGTAGTGATTTCGTGTTTTTAGTAGCGTTTTTTGCTAGTTATCACGGTGCTAACTGCTAACCCCTATAAGGGTTAGCACCTAATCCCATCCCACTAAGGTTGCTAGAAAACGGAGTAAATACATCAAGAGTTAAATGGCAATGGTTGAACGAAAATATTTGAATTCACTTGGTATTTACACGTATTTTAATATGTAATTATTGGTTTGCTTGCTTGTGATTTGCAGCAAGTAAAAGTGATAGTGAATGATGTATGAAAGAATTAACCAAGGTTGTCAACCCGCGGGTCGACCCACTTTGACCTTGACCCGGTAAAAAAAACGGGCCGCACGCACCCGCCGGGTCGACCGCTACAAGGTACCGGGTTGAAAGTCAAATTGTGTCATTTTTTTTCTTTAGTTTGCGAAATGCGCCTATTTTCCGATTTTTCTTTTCGCCTAACTCAATCTTTGGAATCCTAAGTTGAATATTTGAATATTGATGTTGTATAAGTGTGTGTGAATTTTCACTTTATGCTGGATCTAAGTACGATATGTTATTTTGGTGTAATATTATATGTTATAACTCATATGTTATATAAGATTTGATATAATTTATAAGGATAAGTACAATATAATGACTTTTTCCATATTTCCGGGTCAAACCGGGCTAAAACGGTTGACCCATTAATCCTTAACCCACTAGTTTGACCGGGTCCGAGTCAACCCGCGGGTTGACAACCTTGAAATTAACAAAATGTAACTCATGAAACATAACTGCACAATCAGTAAGAAAAACCACAAAAATATCGTGGGAGAGCATAACTGCAAAATCAGCAAGAAAAACCACAAAAATATTGTGGGAGAGTATAACTGCAACAACAACTTAAAATAAAGGAAATAAAAAAAGCATTCATATGTTCCTACAAGCAATGAAAGAAAAAGGGTAAAAAAGGAAAGAGGGAAAAATTGATGCATAATATGGGGTTAATTGCAAGGATGGTCGCTGGGTTTATTAAAACCGTTCATGTTTGGTCACTGCAAATATTTAATTTCATTCATGGTCACTAAGATTAGTTCAAGTTTGGTCACTCTCCGTTAGTCTCCGTTAGTTTTTGCTGATGTGGCAGTCAACTATTATAGTTGACCGTTAAATGAGTGACGTGGCCATTAAAAAAAATAATAAAATAATAAAATTTAAATATTTACAATTTCCACCTCATTTTACAACTATAAAAATATAAAAATAAAACTTACCTCCGTCATCTACGCCACCGTGGCCATGACGCGATCGTCTCCGCCGCCGCTCCTTCCTCAACGCCGGCCTCGCTTTGATTCATTCTCCACCGGATTCCAGTTGGCCATCTTATACTTCTCCCTGGCGATAATCTCCCTCGGCTCCGGCTCCCTTTTGCCATGCTCCCTGGCATTCGGCGCAGACCAACTCCACAACATACCTGGCTAAGAATATAAAACAAAATTTCGATGGAAGGCAGTACAATTGCAGTATGTCATGATGATGAGGGAAATTGTAAATATTTAAATTTTTTTATTTTATTTTTTTAATGGTCACGTCACTCATTTAACGGTTAACTATAATAGTTGACTGCCACATCAGCAAAAACTAACGGAGACTAACAGAGAGTGACCAAACTTGAACTATTGAACTAATCTTAGTGACAATGAATGGAATTAAATATTTGTAGTGACCAAACATAAACGGTTTTAGTAAACCTAGTGACCATCCTTGCAATTAACCCCATAATATGTGCTCATGCAATCTGGCTATGGTGCTAACAACACAAATGGTAATACATGGTCAAACGACCGAGATCGTGTCACAAGGTCCGAAGCTCGTATGGAGGGATGAGATTAAAGGGCTTGGGAGAAGATTAAATGGTGCATTTAATGCTCTCACAAACTTTCTTCCTCTCTCTTGTGCTCTTTCATGGCTGGAGAAAAAATCAACATTTCTCTCATTCTTTGTCTTTCTTCCTCTCTCTATTGCTCTCCCACGAAACCAGTATTATGTCACGGTGTCACCGCAAACCATCTTCGTCTCTGCCATACTTCAGTTGTCGACTACCAAAAAAGGGATCGTAGGAGTGTTGAGTGGTGGTCGCCATCTTTCATCTTCCAGCGACCACTTCTCTTATGCTCCGTTGCTTTCTCACACCCAGAGGAAGAGAACCACAGGTTGAGGGATCTACGAAGAAGGCAACATAGGAACAACAAGTTCAGAGGAGTGGGATTAATATAGTCTGGGCGATATGAGTATTAATATGCGAAGCTCCTTCTTGGGATATGAATATGATGATAAGACACTTGTAGTCGTGAGTACTAGTTGTAGTAACCATAATACTAGTTATAACAAGTTGAATACTATGTGTAGTAAGTATAACTCCATCATAATCGAACTCATACCATCATATAGTTCCGGAACTTCTCCTGCCATGGATTGTTTGTGAAGAAGACTATGTATTGAGGAACAAATATTACAAGTAGACAAAGAAGTACTCAAAAGCATCAAAGAAGTATTCAAAAATGTCAAACCAGTATTCAAAATCTTCCAACAAGTATTCTCATCTTTGAGGTCAAGAAGTATTCCACACAAATGAACTAGCATTCACCATTCACAAAACAAACTAGTATTATGTATATTTGAACTATATTTTATCTTTCAAAAATTAGTATTTTGTATATTTGCGTATTCTGTATGTTTGAACTAGTATTCATTGTTCAAAACAGGGGCGGAGCTACGTCTTGGCTCGGGGTGGCCCCGGCCCCCCCGAGAATTTTGAAAGTTACGTGTAAACCCGATGAGCATCCTGATTTTTTCGTATTAACTATGGGTAAATTAGTATAGTTGTAGTGTACATTTTAGTAACAAGAAAATCAGTGTAGTCTAGCGGATGGGAAATGCTTAAATAGCTCACAGGTCAGGGGTTCGAAACCTCAGAGTGTTGGTCTTTGTTTAATTTTTGAACTTTTAGAGTTTTATCTAAAAAATGACTTAACAAGTATTCATTCCATAACATAAATCCTTTAGTTTCAAATTAGATGAGCTAATAACTTATATATTTTGTTTTTATTAAATCCTTTAATTTAAAACTACATCCATCAACCTTTCAACTTTAATTTTTTACAAAATTTTTTGTATATAATAAATAATTTTTTGAACTTTTAGAGTTTTATCTAAAAAATGACTTAACAAGTATTCATTCCATAACATAAATCCTTTAGTTTCAAATTAGATGAGCTAATAACTTATATATTTTGTTTTTATTAAATCCTTTAATTTAAAACTACATCCATCAACCTTTCAACTTTAATTTTTTACAAAATTTTTTGTATATAATAAATAAATTGTTCTCCAAATACGCTATATTCTTCTTTTTTAATTATGAAAATAGGATGGATATACAATATTACAATATTTTTTTTCTTTTCTAATCTACATTGAACCTGGTATGGTAAAAAAAAATTAGTTTAGATTTTATTTTGAGTGACTTTAATCCTCTTTAAAAGGTACAATTATCATAATATTTCAAATATTTTTCGTTTATTATTTAAATAATCTTAACGCCTTTTTGCAGTACCAAAATATGAAACTCCGGCCCCCCCGAGCACCAAATCCTGGCTCCGCCCCTGGTTCAAAAACTAGTATGTTGTATGTGTGAACTCGTATTCATCGTTCAGAAACTAGTATTCTTTATGTTTGAACTAGTATTAATCGATCAAAAACTTATATTCTGTATGTTTCAACTAGTATTCTGCATATTTGAACTAGTATTCATCATTCAAAAACTTATATACATTAGATTAACAACTAGTATTTATTTGAACACTCTTAGTGCAAGTTGTATTCAGAAAGGTAAGATATACTTAATAGTTAATACATTTTCAATTTGTATTCAATACACAAAACATGTTGATGACACGTTATTTATAGTATTTGTCACTCTCATTCTTAATACATTTTTCCCCTTCTATCTAAATCATAACTATTTGATCAATGAAGCTTTAGTAGACCTAGTGATGAGGTTTCAAATTTGTGTACGATGCACCCTCACTTCTATCCTAACAATGCCAAGTATATCAATACTGGGGATAAGTAAAGTGACTCGTTCATATTCCACGGGTCATGGTATCCTAGGCTACTTAGGTTGTTATCTAGCTGACATGTTACTTAAGCAAGTGGATAGTTAGAGATTAATGAGCGAGAGGACAATATGAGAGAAGAGGTACTTGGGGTGCCTCCCTCGCCCTAATCGCTAGAGATAACATGCAAAAGGATAGAAGGATGATCCATGGTAATCCAGGTGCGGAGATCGCTTATATGAGGATTGGGTCAATTGTATTGCAAACAATCCCCCTCCTACGCTGATCCACTAGTCCACTGTCACTTCAACTAGCATAACGGTGCAGGGATATAACCTATCTCCTCTAAACGGGTTCTACTCATCCACACACTAGGCCGTTAAGTCGATGGTCACACACTCGACCCTAGTATTGCCTAGGTGGATGCCTAATAGGCAAGGGTATGGTCTCCTCGTCCACCATACTAGACCCCTAAATCAACCATCCAAACCAATCATGCCAAGATCGCTCAATCCACACATATCCTCGATCAAACCCTAACTAGTGCAATCATATATAACACATGGAGAGACAAATTCGAAGAATAACAATCATAGATGGAGCATAAAAACTCTAGGCAAACAAAATTCATCCATAAATCACAAGAAAGAGAATGATAAATCCCTTACCACCTAAGTTGCAACAAGGGCAAATGAGATACAAACAATCCCACACTACTTGATGTGTAGAAAGTACAATCATTAAATAATAAATAGACATAGATAAATAGATTTATAACCATCCACAAATCAAGCCAAAATACCCAATTACATATCAAACCCTAGGATAGCGTTTGAGAGACTAAACTCCAAAGTACCTTGATGGACTACCCCATGAAGAGGAGAAGAAGGGACATTAATAGAGGGGAAGAATTGAGAAAGAAGGGTCTTCTTGTGCTAGAAAATCCTTCTCCAAAGCTCTTCTCCACTTCTTCTCCAACCTTATACTTCTCTCTCTAACCTCACACTAGAATCATAAATCTATCAAAAGTCACTCTACACAAGGGGAGGAGACCCCTATTTATGGAGTTCTAGAAATGCGGGCAGGTTTGCGGTTGAGAGACTCAAGATCGTGGGCATGAACTTTCTCTAGCGACCATAATCTTTGAACGACGTCGCACTGGGCGACTCGAGAAGGAAAATCTCGACCCGACTTCGCGGTCGCAACTCAATATTGTGGCCGCGATCTTTCTCACGGTCTCGAAGACGAAGGCCTGTGATTCGGGTGTCTAGAGCTTCTATCATCCTCCGTATGTTGCTTCCCCAAGTTTATGGTTGTCATCTCCAAGATTGAGGGCAGGATCTTTGGCTTGAGGTCGCGATGTTCTGTTGGACTTCGTGGTCTTTGGGATCCCGACCCAGATCTTGGCTCCTTCGACCGTGAACTCTATTTTGTCCCTTAAACTCTACATTTGTGCCCTATTTTGGTGCGTAAAATGAAAGTATTGTCGAATGCATCCTAATACGACATGAAATTCTGTAAGGAAAGAATTTGGGATGTAAATGACAATATATTGACCATGGAGATCAAAGAATGATATGAATACATGGAGGCTAAATAACATCAATTTGGGTGTTGTCACTTAGTTTTTGTACTCTTTGATGTCTTCTTTGTATATTTTTTTATGGTTTTCAAAGTACAAAGCAACCTAAGGAAACTTGAACCAATTTTCATATGTATCATGAAGTCATTCTTATTTATTTTAAAAAATTACATGCCAGTTGTTTTATAATCGGTTTTATGCCGGTTAATTAACGATTATCCGATAAATCTTAAACCTCTCACTAATTCGGATAGTTGCCCGGTACATCACTAATAAAAATCATGACAATTAAAACACATAATTCAACAATCCTAACAAGCTAACATTGCGACTAATTCCGTGAACATAATGCATTGTAGCGAGCTAAAATAAAAATATAATATACATATCTTAGCTTGTATTGATGAACTTAGCTTCTCATATTTATATGAACTTACAACTAGCTTTTTTCTCTCTTCTTCTCGTGTCAAATACAAATTGTTTATAGTCCATTTTCGACAATTTTTCACCGTTGCACGCTATCATGCGCGGGGTCGTGCATAATAAGCTTGACTGGCCGTGGTTTAACTCAGGATGCACACGACCGCACATGCTGAGATAAACTTAACTTGTTTTGCTCAGTATGCGCGACCTCACATATACTGAGATAAAGTTAAACTAGTTATACTCAGTAAATACATTCTCGCACATCTTTTTCCCTTTCGTAATATTCGTACAAATACATTTTTCTCCTACTCATGATAGTTTTTTTTTATTTTTCACAATATATGATAATTCTCATGCAAAAAGCGCTCAATTTTCTCTGATTCATAGTTATTAATTAATAAACTCCCACTTGTAATTAATATTTCATTTATATACAGTTATATACGCTAATTAAGTAAGAAGATCCAAAAAAGCATTCCCTGGATCAGCCAGGTAGTAATGGCGGCAGGAATATAGGAAATAGCAAGAGAGAGGGGCAAAACATCCGCCCTGTCCAACACAAAAAAGAAAAATGTGGCGGTGGCGAAGGAAAGGAAGGAAGGATGTCGCTGGTGAAACGGAAATGACAGCGGCGGCGACATGACAATTGAGAACAACACGGGAAAGGTTAAAATGCCGTTTGGCGTCCGTCTCTCCCACATTTCAATATCAATTCCTTTTCTCGATTAAATCGTCCCTTCTTCTTCTTCAGTTCTTCTTCTTCTCCACTTTAATTGCCGTATTTATTTTTTTTCTGCTACGCTTGTTTTTTTTATTAATATAATTGTTACCCCGCTCGACTCTCCTCGTCGGCAGGCACAAGTGAAAAAGAGTAAGAAAAGACAAAAAAAATCACGTCTGGGTGCGGGAGCGCATTTTTCTCGGCTTGCGCAGACTCTCTCCCGTCATTCCCGGCCCGGCTTCCTCCCTCAATTTTCTTCTGTAATTCTCCCCGCCGGAATTGCAAGGTATTTCCCGCAGTCCTTGCTTCTTCTTTCTGTCTTCTCTCTTCGGTCTGCGCAGAATCTCTGCTCGATCTGTCTGCATTTTCCTCTTTCCTTTCTATTTCTGTTTTCCTCTTTTTGCCTCTCGCATGCACATCCTGTAGAGACGCAAGTCTTTTGCATTTCGGCTTCTGATCTTGAAACTGGCGTTGTTTTCATTGCTTTCTACTTTATTCGCTTTTCTCCCTTCCGGATCGGCTTCGATTTAGCAGCTAACAGAAAAGAAGTAGAAGAAGAAAGAAAAAGATGGCAATAACCCTAATAAGTAGATATTCCCTTGCTTGGGGAATTTCTGAGGAAGATTGCCAGAATTATTTAACTTTGTTGCTGGGCGACTTGGAGTTGAAGATAGTCAAGAGTTGGTAGGTATAGTTATATGCATGGTCAAAATTAGCAAGAAAAACAACACCTAGATGTAGCGCACAAGTAAAGAACGGTTGTTTTGTGGTGCAAGGAATTGGTCAATACTCGACAATTACTTTGTTTCGTGAGTTTGCTGATTCAAAAAAGTCTTTGGAGTCGTTTGGATGATGAATTCTAGCGGATCAATTTGACTCAATGATATCGTTTTGAAACAATTGTGTCAAATTGATCCATTTGGCGGTATGAATTTTGGATGGAGCAATTTGGCTTGGGGAATTTGAATTTAGTCTTTTCGAAGGCAATTACAATTGTTTGGGCCGAGGGCAGATAATTCGAATTGACTCATTTTAAATGATTCGTTTGGTAAAATGAGTCAATTGACAAAATTATATTGTTTTCCAGTTGATCCATCCAAACGACCCATTAATTTCTTAATTCGCGGACGAAACATAATGCAATAGCAGCAGCATATTGCATATAAGGGGTATGGTACTGTGTGCAAAGGGAAACTCATCCACCCTTTGTTACTCTTTCTGTTTGCTGACTCTTTCATTCATAATTCAAAATTGATGTCACGTCATAGTCTTTGTTCTGCATTTGGACAACGTTTATTGGACAAATCATAGTTAGTTCTTTTTTCCTGACTAGTCTGGCTTAATATTTGTTCTTCTGCAGCTCAGATGAAAGGAGGTGGCTTCAAAGTGAAAGGTCGAGAGTTAACTCTTCTCCTAATCGTGCTTGCATGCACAACCATTATTATGCTGTCATGGGAGAGAACCCCACTTCTTTCTGCATCACTTCCTGCTAATGATCCCTTACAGACATACTCGGGTACTTTCTTTTAATTCATGTGTCGTTCATACCAAGCATGAACTTACCATTATCGCTTATCAGTGTCACTGTAAAGGGGTTCTTTTGTGTTCCACATAAATAGGTGTCTATCCCTTGAAAAGTTTTTCAAACATCTCGCTCAGTAAATGCATGTCGTGGTGGCTTGGTTTCTATATTCTCTTTGCTTCTGTAAATGGAGAACAAGTTATTCCTTAGTCAAGTTAAGCTTTTGTGATAGTTTCTGCTCCGATTTGGAATGCTAACAGTTGATTCTAATTGCTTATACATCCACCTTCTTGAATGAACCTGATGGAGCCTATATCTATCTTTTGCTTCCCTAAATTACTCCAGTACATAGTTGTATCATGTGTCCTCCTTTATGGTACCATTCTTAAAAGATAGAATTACTTGATAATCATACCATCTCAATTCGCTTTCCTTAATGTTTTATCTTAAGCTTGAATTCAGGTCGATGATTCGGAGGTTTGTATTAAACTCTGTTTTGTGAACATGTACTTAGAGCAGTTTGTAGTGAAATTCTTATATTAGAGATATAAGCCACATACCAGTAGAATTTGGAAAAGGAAACTAATCGTATGCTGGATGAAAATCCAAGCTTCACTGCTTGAGGGTGGAAATCTAATTTTCCGAAGAACACCTACATCAATGCAAATGGAAAACCAATTGCATGTGTTTCCTCTATTACCACATCACAATTTATGCAGTTCATCTCATCTTAATTTCATTGTACCTACAACAATCCAATTCACTTGCAATTGCATATGTGGTGGGTCCAAGTGATTTTATAATAAACAAAAATAAAAAAAAATGAAGGGAGAAATATATAAATTATTCTTTTTATTTTCCTATATACTTGCATCTTGAATTCCATCAAATGCAAACTTGCATCTTTCCAAGTGCCCACTACATTTGGTGCAATCCCCTTTGCAATTGCATATTGAGTACCATGTAGGATGCAATCAAATATCATTGATGTGGATGCTTTAATAAATTATTTTTTATGAAACATCAAGATTTTGAAAATTTCGTTCCTCAAACACTTCTAACTTTGGGGATCCGGTTACAAGTGAAGTGAGTGCCTTCAACTGGCCAGTTAAGTTTATGCTAAGTCACGTGTGTGGCTTGATTGAGCCTTGCAAAATGTTCTCCCCTCTTTTGACCAACCCAGCTTGAAAAAGTGGTTGCTTCTGTTAACCAACTTCCCATACTCTTATTTTCCTACTATTTTAGGAAACTAGCTGATTGTTTAATGAGTGTCATGTATTCCCTCTGCCCATCACCAGGGTTCATACTTGCAAGTAGAGAGCACTTTGGCATGTCTGGTTTGCTTCTTATTTTTAATTTGCTGTGGTCATTGTTACTAATTGCAGCAATAATGACTTCTAGTCTGTTATCTACCTATGTCACCATCAGAATATGTTTCTGTGTCCTGACAGAGATATCGCTAAACTTAACTGATATGGAGGAGAAAGATAAAGTCTTCACAGAAGCAGGCGAAGATCATACTGCAGAAAACCCTCCAAGCTTGAGAGAAGCAGGAGATCCTAATCAGAATGTTGAACAGAGTTTGAATTTGACATCACAAGGAGTCGCTGAGGGGGGACAAGAAGACGAGAATACACCAGAAGTAGGAGATAAACAAGGTACATTGAATTGCACATATTATAAAATATTCCCTCTGCCCACCACCAGGGCTTATACTTGCAAGTAGAGAGCACCTTGACATGTCCAGTTGGCTGCTGCTTCTTTTTAATTTGATGTGGGTCACTGTTACTAATTGCAGCAATGATGACTTCTAGTCTGTTATCTTCCTGTTTCACCAATAGAATACATTTCTGTGCCCTGACAGAGAAATTGCCAAACTTAATTGATATGGAGGAGAAGGATAAACTCTTCACAGAAGCAGGCGAAGATCAAACTGCAGAAAAGCCTCCAATCTCGAGAGAAGCAGAAGGAGATCCTAATCAGAATGTTGAACAGAGTTTGAATATGACATTACAAGGAGCCGCTGAGGGACAACAAAATGACGAGAATACACCGGAAGTGGGAGATAAACAAGGTACATTGAATTGGTATAAATTAGTTGTCTCTTTCTTTTACTGTAGTGAAATTAAACGGCGAGAATCTGATTCCAGTTTGTACTTGGATTCTTGTTGTCATTGACAAATTTGTTTTGGTATAAAGCTTTCATTGACTATGCCTCTATTAGTTTAACGGGCGAGAAAAAAAAAAGAAGTTAATGTCTAAGAACTGCAAATTAATTGGCTTTTGAAGCCACTTAAAAGATCAAGAGATTGTATTTGTATCGTCAATGTCATTTTGCAAGGATTTGCAATTTATTTTGGACCATGTTCCCATGTTCCATGAACACTTTGTTGCTCAATAGTTGGCATGTCATGAGTGTAACAAGGAGCACACCTTATGTGTACGATGAGTGACATGGATTGCTGATATTGTCCATTTGGCTTTGCAGCTCATTCCGACGTGTCAAATATCTTAGGGGTCTATGAGCAACGATGTATTGATCTCTGTTTTTAGAATGTTTGGTTTCTGACAACGCATCGTTTTCCCTTGTTTTAGTTAGGTCTGAAAACCATACATGTTTCAGGACTCGGTGTTGTTTCCACTTTCCATGATGCATAACCTCATGTATTTTAGTAATCTTCGGTAACCTCCGAAACTTCCAAAATTCATGTTTTTTTTTTGGTAGACTCCATAATCTTTTACAATCATTTCAAACTAAACTAAATTCTGATGATACATCCTTTTAAAATTCCCACATCCAAAATTACATGGTAACCAAACCACTTACTCTTTGTTTTCATACACATATTATTCTACACCAGAGTTAAACTAACTGATCTGCATATGGTCTCTACAGTTTGTAATTATGCAAAAGGGAAGTGGGTGGTAGATGACAGCTTGCCTTTATATTCTGGATTTGATTGCAAGCAGTGGCTAGCACCAGGGTGGGCCTGTCGGTTGATGCAACGGACTGAATTTTCTTATGAGAAGCTCAGATGGCAACCAAAAGATTGTACAATGGAGCGGTTCAATGGAGATGAGTTCTTGAAAAGGTATGATTTGCTTGTATTGTTTGTACTCTATTCTGCAGATAACAATCAGAATTTTTAGCAGAATCTTATGAGTTTTGACCGAGTTTGCTCATCTCTGGATCTGATGTGATGCTGCTAGATACGGACATCTTATTATTTTCCCTAGCTTGATTATTCAAAAAATACTAGAATTTGTGCTGGATGATATTGGGTGTGTTAGCTGTTATGATGATACTTATTTGATAAGGGACACATAACTGTACTGCTGTTTTTTTGTCCCTAAAACAGGATGCGAGGCAAGACTCTAGCTTTTGTTGGAGATTCATTAGGTCGCCAGCAGTTCCAGTCTCTAATGTGTATGATCACTGGAGGGTTAGAAAGGAACGATGTCCTCGATGTCGGAAGCGAGTACGGACTTGCCGTCCCTGAAAACGGCCGTCCCGATGGGTGGGCTTATAGGTTTCCCACCACAAATACCACTGTCCTCTATTACTGGTCTTCTTGCCTCTCTGACGTGGAACGTATCGACCCTAAGGATCCAAACTCACACTATGCCATGCACCTCGATCGCCCTCCAGCATTCCTGCGTGAAAATCTGCACAGAATCCACGTCCTAGTTCTAAACACGGGGCACCACTGGAACCGCGGGAAGCTGAGTGCTAATCGGTGGGTCATGCATGTTGGTGGTGTCAAGAACACCAACAAGAGGCTGTCAACCATGGGGGATCTCAAGAATTTCACAATTCACAGTATTGTTAGCTGGGTGAACAGCCAGCTACCGGAGAATCCGCAGCTGCAGGCTTTCTATCGTAGCATATCTCCCAGGCATTTCTCTGGTGGGGAATGGAACACTGGTGGGAGTTGTGACAGCACCATACCTATGTCCATAGGGAAGGAAGTAGCGGACGAGGAGAGTAAGGATTACAGCGCCTGGCATGCAGTGCAGGGAACCGGGGTCAAGATTCTGGATATAACGTCTTCGTCCAAGCTCAGGGATGAGGGTCATATATCGAGATACAGCCTAACAGCGAAACGAGGTATGCAAGATTGCCTGCATTGGTGTCTGCCTGGTGTTCCTGACTCGTGGAACGAAATCCTCTTTGCACAAATCAAATGAAGTGTCGGAAAACGGGTACTTGTAAGTAAGTTTAGTCCACATATTCATACAGGTAGTTTGCTTTGGGAAAGAAGAACCGATCCAAGCTCTTTTCTAGCCGTGAGAAGAAGATTTGGTTAGTGGGAAATGTGGTTTGTGAATAGTGGATGGCCGGAAGGGAAGATTGAGGAGAAAGAACTGGGTCCGTGAAGGTAATTGTTCTCCCCGATAATGAACTAATGAAGTTAGTTCCATTGTTGATAGGACACGGACGGTAATGAACTTTGTACACACGGTGGAGGCATTGATGGAAAAAAACCAATCAAGGGCACCTTATAGACACACGGTTAGGGCACAATGTAATTTCCTATCTGTAATATGACGATAGTTTTATGGAAATTTTGGATTGATGGATTCTAATATTTGATTTGATTAGTATTTGGCAAGAGGTGGTGCGGTAAAATGTCATCACGTTCATCCAACGGTTGTGACTTGCAAGTCATGGTGATTTGATGGAAAAAAATCATATCAGTAAAGAGGTCGATTGTTTTCCCCAAATCATGGTGACTTGCACCATAACAAAGTCCTAACCATTTTTAATATTGTACTGTTTTTGTTATTATCTCTCGAATGAGTTAAAGATATTTAATTACTAGTAGCTAATTGAGAATTTACAGTGACATATAGAAGAAACATAATAACAATAGATTTTTTGAATTATACCCGAGTGTGATGATGGAGCTTGATAGTCTACAATATTCCTACTTTATAATGTCTAATTACCATATGATTCACATTTTTCTAATGAATTTGAAGGTTGAAAATTCCACACAGGAATCGAAAGCAAAAGCTAATATTATTAATCAAAGTTGTCTAAATTCATAGCTATAAGAAGAGCTATTTATAGAGTTCTCAAAATCACAAATCTAACCTTAAAAGTTAAAACACAAAGAAAACAATTTGTTACTAAGCAAAGGAAAACACAATACTGAGGAACAACAAACAAAAGAAAAGTCCATAATAAATGATAAACACGCCTATACTAATCTTGTACGCGCTAGATAAGCTTTGCAAGCTTCTTGACAACAATACTCCATGTGTTGGGATTTCTTGTTAGAGCAAAGAAGGATTAGGTATCCTTAAGGCCTAATGAACCTCTTGAATGGGTCGTGGACTTTCTTTGGTAATTTTTGGTTATGCACTGTACATAATTAAATTTGGGCCTTTAGTTTTGACTTTTGAGTGAGGTCAAAAGGGCTCGGATTTAAGGGGTGAGAGTTAAATGACTTTTTAATTTTCTTAGTTTTATGAATCGGCTCTTATCTTCTTCGTTTTTACTTAGATTTTATTTTATTTTTTGCAGGGATAAAATGCATCCGTTGTGATCTACAAAATGAGATTTATTTTCAATATATTTCAGATGATTTTTTTTTCATACCACTCGTTACCACTTTCGTTTTTAACTCTAATTTTGATTTTTTTTTAAAGATGGAACAAGTTCACCATGATTTATTTGATTTACAAATTTATGGACGAAAAAATACATGAACAAACTATACCACTCCATACCACTTTGGTATAGGGGTAGTAACTGGTGGTAAACAATAATGAATGAGATAAATGACAGTTTGTACATTCCCACTATCATGTATTCAACTATTATACACTCTGGTATGTTCATACCATCATGGTACTCTTCCATACCACGTTATATGATCTTATGTAATACCAAACATTACCACTGTGGTATAGACTAGTAATAAATGTATCAATTTTTTGTTCCAAAATATATCAGACTCGATATCATTTTGAAAAACACAATTAATCTGATTTATATGTGCAAAAATTAAATTATGACTTAAAAAGAAAAAGATATAGTCCGTTAAAATTTATAGAGAAAAAGGTTAGAGACTTTACACAAATGATGATGTGATAATGATGTGGCAGGTTATGCATGGTTATGCACCCTTAAGTTATGCAAGGCATCCACTCCCACCCTCTTCGTACCAAACCACGTTCCTCTATAACTCTAATTAAGTGCACAAAGAACCTATTAAAATGAAATTTACCAAAATTAGCAAATGAATTCGCCAAATAAGCTTAAACTTGCGTATTGAACTACTTTGTTTGACTTCGTGTATTGACCACAAGGTTCAAGAAGGCGCGCGCCTAGGCGCACGCCTAGGCTCAATTAGGCGCTAGGCGGTGGATGATCGCCTTGACTTGGCCAAAGGCGTTGTAAAAGGCGCTGGTAGCGCTTAGTAGGTAGGAATAGCGCTTATTTTGCGCCTAGTGGGGAGAAGGCGTGCTTGGGCGTTCCTGGGCGAGCTTAGGCGGTTAAACCCCATACTCTTCGTTTTGTCCTAGAAAATCAGAAAATTGCCTCTTGCCCTAGAAAATTAGAAACATGGGGAGGGGATGACCATGCTATGTATGTATCCGTAGATGAGGATGAGGAATCATATTGTGCACCCTTGAGTACTGTTACAGATGCAATGGCGGGTGAACAGAGTGAGCTTCGCAGGAGTGCACGAGTGAGAGAGCTCCATGATGAAGAATTAGAGTCCGAAGAGGAGGAGGAGGAGGATGGTGAGGCGATTGCTTTTGAGGATGATGAAGATGAAGTGGTGGCTGGACGGACCTACTTGAATGATGAAGAATGAACATTTCCCTATCAACTTATTGACTATTGTTTAGTATTTCGACATTTTATGAACTTGTGATTCTAGGAAGTGGTCACTATTTGCTTGTTATTTGTTATGTTAAGTGTTTCCTGTTAAGAACTAGGCATTGCTAATTTTATATGCACTTGGATTATATGAATTATTCCAGAAAACAAGAAATATTTGAGAACTTTTTCCATTTATGCTCTGAACGCCTAGGCGCGCCTAGGCTACGCCTAATCAAGCAAGGCACAAGTCAGGAGCCGAGCGCCTGCCTTACGCCTAGCGCCTTTTAGAACCTTGATTGACCATGAATATGAGTTGACCCGACGTCTACCAACCTGGTGTTGCTTGATCCTTCATACTAAGCTTGTTCGTATTGATGCCATCATCAAGGTCCACTTTACCTCCAAGGTAGAGCTTGAGGCGATGACCATTAACCTTGAAGATGCCTTTCGGTGGGTGTGAGATCTCCACCACACTATAACGGAAAACTTCTGTGACGGTGAAGGGTTCTGACCATCGAGACCGCATCTTCACGGGAAACAGGTGAAGGCAAGATTTGTAGAGGAGAACTCGATCTCCATGATGGAACCCTTTGGTATCCTTCAAACGAGCTTAATGGAGATTCTTTGTTTTATCCTTGAATAGTCGGGGTGCTCCCATAAGCATGGTATCTCCATTCTTCAAGATCCGGAACCTACAACTTCATTTCATTTCTAACCACATTGGGATCAAGGTTAACCAGCTTAATCAAAAGGTCTTATGCTCTAGCTCAACTGAAAAGTGGAAGACAAGTCTATATAGTGAAGTACTAGTAGGTGTCTTATACGCTGTACAATAGGCCCATACAACATCATTAAGCTTGGTAGTTTAATCTATTCGAGATTGATCCATCTTTTTTTCATAACTCACTTAAGTTCCCGGTTAGTCAACTCTACTCAACCACTTGTTTGAGGGTGGTAAGCCATAGACATCTTGTGAGTGACACCAGAGCGCGAGAGAAGCTTCTCGAATTGACCTTGGAAATGGGTGCATTGATTCCTAATGATGGCTCTAGGTGTCCCAACTCAGGGAAAAAGCTATTTAATAAAGGTAGAAACACACGTAGCATCATTGGTGGCCAAAAGCCCGTGCCCCAGCCCACCTCAAAATATAAACAACCGATACCAGTATGTATGTATGTATTACCAAAGGATGGAGGAAAAACACTCGTTAAATTGATACCCCAAAAATAAAATTCTCACATACAACAGATACTTTGGGGGCATCTTATTCTGGGAAGAAGTATTACTTGAGTGCTGACAGTGGTCGCACTAACATGCAACAGTCTCAACATCCTTGAAGGGTGTGGGCCAGTAGAAGCTCGATTGTAGCATCTTTCATGTCGTGCGGTTACCTCTGTGATGCCCATCAGTGGGGCCCTAGTGACAGTGGAAGAGTGTGGCCTATATCTTCACCTCCATGACACATCGATGATCACACCATCAGCTTCGCTTCGCAAAAGGTAGTGGTCATCTTAGAAATAGTGGCATAGATCAGAGAAGAATTTCCTCTTCTCTTGAGTAGTCATCCCCGTGGACATCTGCCTGCCTACCTAGTAATTAGCAAAGTACGAGTACCATGGTGTGACATTCTTTACCAAATAGGCAGATACATCATTAGGAGCTTCTCATCTGAGAATGAGTCATTGATCTAACCATCTAATTTAATCCACAGAAGGCCCCTCAAGCCTCGATAGATGATTGGCTTCCACGTTCTTTGCTCCCATTTTGTCCTTAATCTCTATGCCAAACTCTTGCAGCAAAAGGATCCACCATATGATCGGAGGTCTAGCATCAGCCTTGCTCATAAGGAATCAAATCGACGAGTGATCAGTGTAAGCAATGACATGAGATAGGATCATGTAGGAATGAAACTTATCGAAGGCATACACAATAGCTAGCAACTCCTTCTATGTTATAGTGTAGTTCTCCTAGGCATCATTGGGACTCTTGGACGCATAAGAGACTGGAGTAAGTACTTGTACCGTTTATGCCAAGGATTGCACCAACCACAAATTCGCTAGCATCACACATCACCTCAATGGGAAGACTCAAGTCCAAAGTCCCCATGATGGGCGCATGTGTGAGCTTCTCGTTTAGGATCTCAAAAGCTGCAGTGCACTCTTCATAGAAGGGAAAGGTGTCATCCTTCTCCAACAATTTGTTTAGTGGAAGGGTGATCTTGGAGTAGTCATGGATGAATCGCCGATAAAAACCCGCATGCCCTAGAAAGCTACGAATGTCCTTAAAAGAAGTATGAGGGGGAAAATTGATAATCGTCTTGATCTTGGCCTAATCCACCTTGATCCCTTTCTTTGAAATCTTGTTCCTGAACACAATGCTTGAAATGACACTTTTTCCAAGTAAGTGCCAAGTTTGTCTCCTCACAATGCTGTAGTACACGGTCAAAGTTGTAGAGACATTGGCCAAAAGAATCCTCGAACAAGCATAAGTCATCCATAAAGATCTTTATAAAGTCGTCCACCAGCTTGTCGAATATGGCCACCATGCATCTCCAGAGGGCAGTAGGAGCATTGCGTAGACCAAAAGGGATGCACCGGTAGGTGAATGTGCCAAAGGTACAAGTGAAGGAGTTCGTTGATTGGTCTTCCAAATCATTACCTGAAAACAGTCAGACATCCCATCAAGGAAGTAATAGAAGTTATGAACGATTAGTATCTTGAGCATATGATCAATGAATAGAAGTGGGAAGTGATCCTTCATGGTTGATTCTTTCAATCAATGGACACCCTCTGACCCGTCACTGTCCTTATAGATATCAACTCGTTTTTCTCATTATGAATTACTATCATGCCCACCTTGAGTGAGACTCACCCATTCACTATCAGAGATTGGATAAATGATTTCAGCATCCAGAAGCTTAATTATCTTTGGCTTGAC